TCAAAACATCGACATATATTTATAATATTTGGCGAGGATCTCTTGCATACTCTGATAATGATCACAGACACTTGGATGGAAATCTGTCATAAAATGCTAACAATTTGGTCGGATCATATATTTAATTATTATGTGTCACAATGAGAGTTTTACACTAATTTAGTCTTTTCCTATTGATGTATTGAGAGATGCTGTCTCAAAGGCTGTTTCTAAAACAATCGTTTAATGTTTATAAAAATAAAGAACACATGCTTATTTTTTTTTTGTTTTCTTGATTTTTATTATATTTTCATAATAATAATTTATCACTTTATTTCACATATACATATTTATGTTGTGTTTTCATATTATATATTATTATAGATTATACAATAAAAAATTATACTTTTATTTCAGTATTTTTTTGGAGGGGGGGTACTTAAAATCTACAAAAAAATGGGGTTTTAAAATTTCATTACTACTATTTATAAATATATATATAGAGCTTAAAATACATAAAAAAATTGATTTTCTTTATTAAAGGAATTCAAAATACTTTGCAATATTAAATCAATTTCATGTGCATCGAAAACATTCCCCAATATATTTTTGCTGTTATGTATTTTATGATTTCAGGGCTAGAATTGAATTTTGCTCAATTTTCTTTGAGAGATAGAGAGAGGGATATTCATTCATTTCGTTTTTCACTTAATAACTAAATAAACAATTTGTGTTATTGTTTAATTTCTGTTTGAATCTACAACTAAATAAAACTTAAGGATAATTTAGAAGGGCGTTGAGGGGGATAGGATAGGGTAGGGTAGCATAGAGGGATGACAATGTTTACATATTTTTCGTTTTTTGTTAAGGGCTTTATGTGTTAGTTCTTCTGCTCCTCGTGGCAGACGAATGAAAATTAATTGTAAAAAAATGCAATTAAACAAATTAAATAAAAAATGTTTTTAAAAAAAATAATTAATTTTTTTCATTTACAAAATAGTACTGGGTCCTCGCTTGCGGGAACTGGGACTAAAATAGGAAAAAGAAGAAAAGAAAAATTAATATACAATTGCAAATATATTGCATATATACAGAACACACACACATACAATTTTTTTTATTATTTAGCTTTTTCCATAATCTAGCTTACCATAAGTTCATTAATTTGCCTATCGATTATATGGATAATTTCTGGATTTTGTCTAACATATTCTACAATTTCGGTAATAATTTTCAGTGACATAGACAGAAAGACAGTGGATGCCGCAACTATGAATCTACTATCAAGTTCAATATCTTGATTATAAATCTCTTCGACTAAAACGATAAGAAAATCCATGAAAAGAAATAGAAGAGAGAAGAGAAAAAAAACATAATTTACTAATTGATTCAATTGAGACAAAGACAAGAGGAAATTATATGAACAAATAGAGGAAAGAAGGGAGACAAGGTGGACAGAGAATAAGTCACAAGGAATTATGATTATTATTACGGATCCCATAATATGCTCAAAAATTATTTTTAAATCATATATCGAAACTCTGAAACACATTTATTTTCTACAATTAAGTCACGAATTTTATCAGAGTTTAGTTAAAACTGTCTGAATCAAAAGTTCCTTTGATAAGTTTAACCTCAGCTTGGAATAGATGAGCAGCTAACATTGAAAAGAATTCGGAACGAGCCACCATAGGCTCTTGAGAGAAGACCAATCTCCAAAAATAAGACACAAAGTTAGAAATGAGTTGAAACCTTCAAAATACCTGAAATGGAACGGAACCTTTATATGGGTATCTGTCTAATAATTTAGGCATCGTGTGTGGAATTTTATCAGAGTTTAGTTGCAATAACAGCCGAAGAGATGAAGCTGCAAAGGTAAACCCCAGAATTCTAAATCCCTCCACCACTATGTGGGCATTCAAAATACATAATATCGGTCGGGGCAGGATAACTTTAAGTTGCACAAGGTCAGCAGTTAAAGTAGGAAAGGACCTATCGGAGCCCTTCAATACCGAACGAGGATTCAGACAAGGTGACAGTTTGTCGTGTGATCTTTTTAACATCCTACTGGAAAAGGTCATACGAGACGCAAAGGTGAACAGAAATGGCACTCTGTACACCAAACAACACATGTTACTCGCCTACGCCGATGACATCAATATAATAGGTCGAACATTGCGAGCGGTAACAGCCACCTTTGAACAAATTGAAAAGGAGTCTGCCAAAATGGGTCTGACAGTAAACGGCGTGAAGACCAAGCTGATGGTATCAACGCGCAAGACGTCCAGTAGCCTCGGACCAACTGTGGCACTTGAGAACTACAGCTTCGAGGTAGTTAAAGACTTTATATACCTTGGTACCGCCATAAATAAAACGAATGACATCAGTTTTGAAATTCGGAGAAGGATTGCGATGGCCAACAGATACTACTATGGTCTAAGTAAGAAGTTTAGAAACAAGGCCACCTCCCGCCAGACCAAACTCACACTTTATAAGACGCTGATACTACCCGTGTTATTATATGGATCAGAAGCATGGGTACTTGCGCAAGCAGATGAGGCAGCTCTTGGGGTGTTTGAGAGAAAAATTCTCCGAAAGATCTACGGGCCGATCTGCGTCGACGTTGAATATCGGCGTCGAATGAACCACGAGCTTTACAATTTATACGCGGACATCGACATAGTCAGTCGTATTGAGCTGCAGCGACTACGGTGGCTAGACCATGTTGTGCGGATGAATGAAAATGCCCCAGCTCAAAAGGCATATAAAAATGAGCCTACTGATGGTTCCCGTAGAACGGGAAGGCCACGAATTAGATGGAAAGACCAAGAAGAAAACAACATCTTGGAACGTGGTCTTCCAAATTTGGACTTGCGCACAAGACCGACGCGCTTTTTTAAGCTCGGCTTTCCAAATATAGGGCGGGACTTTAGAACCCTAGAACGTCGTGTGGTAGCTGCAGCTATGACTTTAAAAATTCCGAATATAGGGCGGGACTTTTTTATTGGGGCATGCCAAATAATTCAGTTACATTAAAGAATTTTTTAGTGAAGAGGTTTTGTAAATGCCTAACTCTACCTGGAATGCCTATCAACAGCCACTGTGGTTCTAAAATTCGTGAAAATTTTCAGACTACCTTCGGACTATGCCTCCAAATACTGTATCTTTTTAAATCCCATCTGAAAGTCTAGTCCTATCTTTATATTGCGATCCATGATCCAGATTTTAACATAGCTGTAATCAACTGGCTAAATCATACCCTATTTTTTCGAATTTGTTCAACTATTCTAGCTCACGTTTCTACATATCCTCTAAGATTTCTGTCTAACGGAACTCAATTTCATTTATAGAAGTTCGGTGGATGATTATCTAGGTATAATATTTTACAAATATTTCATTACTTAGTATTACATTATTCTAGGCTCCAGAAAAAATATATATTTTTAAAAAATACTTATTACATAAAAGACCCATGCATATATATTATAAAAAATACAAAATGTTATATCCAATTCTGCTGCAGATTATAGAAAAAGCCAATAAAAAATAATAATTTAAAATTTTTCAAAAGCATGCAAATTTAAATGTTCTACAAGTGAAGGGGGTCAATAGATTTTTCTTCAACGAATATTTTAAGCACACTCCATACTCAATACAAAATTTAGAAAATTTCAACAAAACGTATTAAAAACAACAAACCACTTACTGTCATTTTCGGGATGTTTGCCATTATGGCCATTTTGAGTGACAGCAATTTCTTTAACATCTGAGAATTAAATGAGAAAAAATTTGAAAGAAAAAAATTAACATTTTTTATTGACTTTTTCTAGAACGACCGAACAACAACAACAAAACTACGCATTACTTAAAAAACAACAACGCATGCATGCAATATTTTTTTTTATTCTTTGTTTATTTTATTTTCCACTGGAAACAAAGTCCGTTAAATTGTGACGTTCATAACTGAACAATGATGTTTACCCCGAGTCACTTTTTGTTAAGTTATTATTAAGGCCATCAGATAATGGAATGTACCCTCTCATAATCATCATCATCATCGTCAGAATAGTGTGTACATATGTACAATATACATACTTTGTTTCATATTAATTTTGAATTAAAAAAAACCTGCAACATTGTTTCACTTATCAGTGAGAATTGAAAGAAAAAACACAAAACCTTGTGAAGCCTTTTGCAAATAATAAAACAAAAGCTTTCTGTAAACATGAGAGAGTTTATATACATAAACATATATATAAATATATTTATGTACCTAAATTTTTTTCACCTTGGGTTTTTTATTCTTTTTAAATTTATCTTATCATTGTTGCTTCTATTTTTAAATCTTTGTACTGTCAAATGGTATTGGCCCTCAGAGTGCTAAGAAATAAATGCATATTTGTAAGATTCGGAAGACTAAGAACCACTGGATGTCCTCCTGTGAAATGCGGTCTGCAAAAATTCTACAGGGATCGAAAAAAAGCCTAGAGATTACGTTTTTATAACAGTGAAGTCTACGATCGGAAACGACTCGATTTTCGCTGTACCAACGACCGTTCTATAACCGTACCGCCCCATTATAGTTACTTCGAAAGTTTTAGCAGCTCTTTTCAACGGAAGTAGCTGTAATTTCGTATTCCAAATCTTGTGGAGAGAACAATATTTTTGCACCGTCTCGGTGTTTTAAGGGTTCAGCTGCATTTTTCCCACGACATGTCTGTTACATCACATTGCGAGACAGACATATTGTGAAGGATCTAGCCACATTTTCACACTGAAGAGGTTGTAAATTATATATCGGATCATAAGAGGGTAAAAATTAATATAGGTCCATGCTGTGGCATAGCCCCAATATAATGATACCATCTTATTGTCGGTATTTTGAAGATTTATCCTCAATCGGCCACCAAAGTGGCATTCCAGATTATTTGTGGCAAAAGTTTTATAATAGTCCTAGACCCCATGTAAAGAAGAACTTTCCAGATAGTTTTCAATATAAGAAGTTATTCCATTTATGGAAAACCTATAGAATAAGGTCTTTCTAAAAACGATCCATAGAATAGGGTTTCCAGCTCGAGGCATTTTCACACCAAGGATGCTGCAGTTTTATATATCGAGTTCTAAGAGGGTCAATATAGCAATGCAAAAAATTATTTATTTAGGTCCATGCTTTGTCATAGCCCCCATATAAATATACCATCTTATTGTCGGTATTTTAAAGATTTATCCTCATTCACCCACCGAAGTGGAATTCCGGAATTATTAGAGGGTGATATTTATTTGTGCAGTGTTTAGCCACTTTTCTCTCCGAGGAAGCTGTAGTTTTATTTTTAGGGTTCTAAGAGGGTTCAAATATCATTGTAGAATTGCTTTGGCATAGACTCCATATAAAGGTACCATATTATTGTCGGTATTTTGAAGATTTGTCCTCATTTGCCCATCGAATTTCTGCAGGGTAATAATTATTTATACCGATAGTCATAGAAGGACTACCCAAGGCGTGGATTAAGGACTACCCAAGACGTGGATTAAGAAAATGTATTTTTAAGGCTTACCCAAGGCGTGGATTTTAACAAATATACTTTTTTAAGGGCTACACGAGGCGTGGATTAAGAAACAAATATTTTTAAGGATTACCCAAGGCGTGGATTTTAACAAATATACTTTTTTATGGGCTACACGAGGCGCGGATTTTCTAAAAAAAATATTCTTAAGGACTACACACGGCGTGGATTTGTGACAGGCAAAAGGAAACGAGATACATCGGTTCAGATTTAGATATAGCTCCCATATATATTTTCGTCCGATATAAGGTGAATGGTGCACCAAAGACCCTAAATATCTTTCGATATGCATGAATTAAGTCTAGAATGGTGTGTAGTAAGTTTCGTGGAAATCGGTTCAGATTTAGATATAACTCCCATACATACTTTCGTACGATTAAGAACTTTCCAGAAAGCTTCCAAGACATTTTCTAGACAAGACATTTTAAGACATTTTCCATCTCTTCAAGACCTATAGAATAATTACCTCCTATAGACGATCCATGGAATAGGGTCCGTAGAATAAAGAGTCTAACCTGTAGATAGTTATGTAGTGTCTTCTCTATGTAGAATATCTCAAGTAGGTCTTTTGAATTTTAAAGATTTGCAACCTATATAACCTACAAAATGTTCTAAGAATTCCTTTTTAGAAGTCCTATAGAATATCTTCTAACTACGATGATATTTTGTCGAAAGAACGCTTGTACAAGCTCTTCTGCATATAGATGACCTCTGAAGGTAATTCTGGACATAAACTTCGCATCTTCTCTGCTATACAACAAAATAACCTTTATTTAATAGCTTTACACTCTCCCTCTTAGTTCGATTTATCTGCTAAAATGTTTATCAATAAATTATACCGACCGAAAGTATTTCTGGACATAAAGTTTTCTATTTATAAAATACGTATAGGTGGTCTAACTTCTATAGAATAAACACATAGATTTTTTTTGTAGAACCACGTATGTCTTTGTGGAGAGGACCTTTCGTAGGACATGTTTTATGGAACCCTCTCTGAAGGTCTTCAATCTACAGGAGATTGTCTGGAATTCTTTAAAATTTACTACACCAATCTCTATTGGTATTCAAGGCATACCGCCTTGATCTAAAATACCTCTACAACAACAAAACAAACATAATTTATTTCTCTACAAAATAGTAGTCTAAGCAAACCTCTACAACAACAACAAAACAAACATCTATTATTTCTACACAAGAAGTAGAAAAAAAATTGTCAACACTTTCCCACCTTAATACTCACCATTATCTTCTTCAACATCCGATTCCGATTTGGGGAAATAATATTCCAATAGACGTTCAGCCAATGCGGTTGTAGTATCGACACCATTTACAGCCAAACTACCATACTGAGTGGCCAGAACTTCATTGGCCTTTTGCCAGGCTAAATCTTTCAAGGAGGCAGCTTTTTGTTGACCGGCCGCTTTGAATTTGACAACACGATCAATATGTGGCTGCACAACATCGATAACTTTGTTCTTAGCTTGATTATAGATTTCCTGAGGTGTATCCTTAATAATGGGTGCCTTAACTTCCAGCTTGTCAATACCTTTGACCAAAGTTTGATCGACATAGTGAATGGGACGATCCAATTTGCAGACAATGGGTGCGGCAGTGGTGACGGCACGTGAAACACAATCTTCGGCGGCGCTCAACGCCCAATTGAAGACACGATTTTTGCCTGGAAAGAAAATGTGTTTTTTTTATTAAATATAATTTCAAGGTTATTTCAATGTTATATAAATGTGTTTATATACATCTTAAGGGGCATGTTTGACCTGCTTTCTAATATGCCGAGCAGAAAATATATTATGACAATGTCATGGTTCTATTGTTTTGTTGTATGTGTGTGAGAGAAGAATTTCTTTTTTTATTATTTTTGCATTATTGTTTTATGGGATTTTTTTTATTTCGATCGTTTTCTTATCAGTCAATTGCCAATTGTACTTTAGCAATTGATTTTTTTGTATTTGGGATTTTTTTGTTCTTGCTGCTCTTGTATTTAATTATCGCAAATAATTCGACGACGACGTCAAAGATTGTTCCATCCAAATAAATCATTGGATAATGTCATAAATAAATTGATAAGGTCAATTTCTTTTTGGGTCTCAAACAATGAAAGTCGTACGATTCATTTCAATAAAATGTTTGGAGGTACTAAATATGGATTTTACACACACACACACACACATCCTCTTCCATTAAGGCCAGGTGTTATCATAATCGTGGAAAATAATGAAATATTTTTCCAAGAAATCATGGTTTTGATAACTCATATTAAGATTAAAATACCATGGAATAGTTGTGATGAAAGAATCTCACAAAGGGCCTAACAAATTTTTACCAACTTCAGTCCCACAGTAGCAGCAGATAATGATAAAAGATGTAGTTTTCAGAAATTCGAAACTCTTCTTTAACTTTTTAATTAAAATCTTTACACCCTCCCTCGAAGTTCGTTTTATTTGCTAAAATTTTAATTAAAAAATTATACCGGCCGGTTCATATATTGTCACACGAAGCTAACTTAGACGTGACAGAAGATCTGTAATTAATTTCCATTCAAATCTAAAGAATTTCATCATTTTGAATATTTCAGCTAAGCAACAAACAAACAATCATCATCATTATTGTTGAAAACAACAACAACAACATTAAAAGTTTTCAATTTCATTTAGAATTTTTTTTGCACACGCTTAAAGTGCCAATAATTGAAATGCGCATTAGAAAACCGAAACTACAACAACAAAACTATAATTATTTATAAATTATTTCGTAAACTTATCTTGTTGTTGTTGTAGTTATGAATAATTGAGACGAACGTGGCTAGATTTGAATGGCTAAAACGATATGAGGTCATAAAATTGCAATAAATATCAAAATTGGCATATGTGGTATATATTTCGGAATATTGAATTGAAAATGAAGTCGGAAAGCAGGATGGTGCCAACTCAAGGACAAAGAGGAGCATGGATTTATAAAAAACAAAAACGTGAATTAAAAAAAATATTTTTAAGGACTGCACAAGGCGTGGATTTTCCAAAAATTATTTTTTGAAGGCGTGGATATTTTTAAAGGCTTACCCAAGGCTTGGATTTTAACAAATATACTTTTTTTAAGGTTAAGAAAAAATATTTTTAAGGATTACCCAAGGCGTAGATTTTACCAAATATACTTTTTTAAGGGATACACGAGGCGTGGATTAAAAAAAAAATTATTTTTAAGGCGTGGATTAAAAAATATATATTTTTAAGGCGTGGATTTAAAAAATATATATTTTTAAGGCGTGGATTAAAAAAAATATATTTTTAAGGCGTGGAATAAAAAAAATATATTTTTAAGGCGTGGATTAAAAAATATATATTTTTAAGGACTACCCAAGTCCTGGATTTTTTAATGAATATTCTTTAGGACTACCCAATCGCGTATTTTTTAAATATATTTGAAAAATATATTTTTTAATATTTTTGAGGACTCCCCAGGGCTTGGTTTTTATGTTAAGTCAGCTATATGTATTTTTCCACCTTAAAAAAAAAACAAGTGAAAATGCGTTAAGTTCGGCCGGGCCGAACTTTGGATACCCTCCACCATAGATATACTGACAGGTACTTGAAATGAAAATATGGGGAAAATACCAAAAAGTGAACCTATATCGACATTTCTTCAAACCGATTATGTAAACCATAATGTAAACTATATTACAAATTTCAGACATTTTTAATGGATACCCTCAGCTTTATGGCTAATGAGGGTGTATACACTTTGACACGGTTAATATGTGCCTCATCGAAATATTGGTTCTACACCCATGTTTCTTTGGACCAACTTTGTTTCAGAAAATTTTGGTTTCATCCAAATTTTTCCTATTCTATTATTTCTTCCAAACTTAGTTCAAGTTCGAAGATGGAGGATACCGTTCCATTCCTTCTGGTACCTCCCACACAGGGGCTAAGCCTAAATACGGGTTATAGTTCATATATAGTTCATTATCGAACCTTACGTTCTAGTTTTTTTCATCTCGATATCCTCCGCAGGTGATATGATTACAACAGAGTCTTAGAACCAAACCCAAAACGCGGAACAAATTGCATAAATATTTTAATATAAAAAATAATAATTTTTGGTAGGCACATTGTTTACCATATACGAATACAAAACACCAAATTTCAGCGAATTCGGTAGAAACCTCAAAATAGCGAAAATTGGTGGTACCCTTATATGGGGGCTACCAGAAAAATTGGACCTATATTTATAAGTTTTAGTGGAGATATTTGGTTCCCAATAAGAACCAAATGTACCAAATTTCAGCGAATTCGGTTGAAAAACGTACTCAAGAACCTCAAAATAGTGAAAATTGGGGGTACCCTTATATGGGGGCTACCAGAAAAAATGGACCTATATTTATAATTTTTAGTGGAGAGATTTGCTACCCAATAAGAACTCAAAGTACTAAATTACAGCCAATTCGGTTGAAAACTACGATCAAAACCCCAAAAATACTGAAAATTAGAGGGTACCGTTATATGGGGGCTACCAGAAAAAATGGACCTATATTTATAATTTTTCTGTGGAGAAATTTGGTACCCAATAGCAACCCAATGTACCACATTTCAGTGAATTCGTTTGAAAAACGCACTCAAGAACCTCAAAGTACGGAAAATTGGTGGGTACTCTTATATGGGAGCTATGCCTAAACGTGTACCGATATATCCCATCTTCGAACTTGACCTGCCTGCAGACTAAAGACGACTCTGTGCAAAATGTTGGCGATCTATCTCAACTCTTTTAGACGCTAGAGTGATTACAACAGACGGACGGACATGCTTAGATCGTCAAAGAATTTTACGCTGATCAAGAATATATATACTTTATAGGGTCGGAAATGATTATTTCGATGAGTTACAAACGGAAAAACAAAATTAATATACCCTCCATACTATGGTGGAGGCTATAAAAAAATAAAAATGAAGCTATCGTTATAGCCGTATACACAATCTCAAATATAACTTCAAAGTCTAAAAGTTTCAATTACTACTTTATTTGAATCTAATTAGAATATTATTTCAAATGAGTTATAGATTGTTGTTTTTGTTGTTTCTATAAATAATAAAATTTAGAAGCTATTAATAATGTGAGTGCAACGAACAAGTTCTTACCCGTGTACAAAAAAAAAAACTGTTCGAAAAAAGTCATTATTCCTTTGTTTGGTTCCTTTTTTTGTATTTCGTGATAATCAAATGCTCGTGTCTTTGACAGTTCCAGATTTTTTTTGCTGGTTTCTATCGGTAAATATTTTTGTTTTTATTAAGATAATCTCTGCGTAAAGGTAAATTTGTTAAGCATATGCTATTGTTTTTGGGTAAATATTTTTCGAATGCAATTGATAATGGCTGGATAGACTTTGTACTTCATAGAATAAAAAAAACAATATTTTTAAAATTAACACAAACAAATAATTTTTGAAATTTGGACAAAAAAATAAAATGCTTTGTTGTTAACACATTTTTGAAGACTATTAAATTTTAATAATATCGAATAAAATAATATAATATTTTGAAGTTGTAGAAATGTATGTGTAGTATTTCAATGCTGTATATTAGCGATAAATATTCATGTTGTTGTCTAGTGTAATCCCTTTCCCCTTCACGTTTGTAGAATTCGAATATAAGTGGAATATCGGACATGTGTTGCACTACCGGAATTAAATTACTGTTTCTGTTATTTATTTCATATTTTTTCTTAATTCTTAAAACCAGCTATTCATTAATAATTCGTATCATATATCATATCTAATAACTTATACACTTTTTGAGAGTATTTGTTTTTTTTTCAGAAATATTAGCATCAGTTTTTTTTTAAAAAGAGGGGAATTTTTTTAATTTTTATTATTATATTTTCTCATGATTATTGTATGAGGTATTTATGTAAATTAGTGTTTGGACTTTGATCGAATATTGTTTGCAACGAACAAAAAAATAAATAAAACAGGTGATGGTGCTCGTGATGATGTTGTTGTTGTGTTTTTTTATATAACTGATGATGTGTGTGTTGGATTAAAAAAAAATCCGCTATCTATTAGGAAATGGAAAATACGTCATTTTGTGAGATAAACTTTTATCATTTAGTTCATAACACTAAAAATAAGATAAATATTGTAATAGTTTAGTGGGGTCTGAAAAAAGTTGGGGATATAAATAAATGGAAACCGAAAAAAATCGGAATTATATTTAAAGCCTTTCAAAAGTTCGAAAAAAAGTTTTTTTAAGAACATGGATTTTTAATACAAATTTTTATAAGAATATTTTTTAAGAACATGGAAGGATATTTTTTAGCGGTGTGGATTTTTTGAATCATATTTTTTAAGGAAGTGGGACTAAAAACGTGAAGGAATTTGGTCCTAGTGGACCTTGCATATTTTTAAGATCGTTTTGAAGGACTGACAGATGTGTGTGGGTGTGTGTGTGTGTTTTTTTTTTTGAAAATAATGATTTAAGGACCAACAGAAAATAGGACTTTTTAGAGAATATATTTTCAAGCATCAATAGAAGTGTGCATTTTTTAAAAGAATATTTTAAAGACCCAAAATAATTGTTGATATTTTTAAACGACCGAAAGAAGAAGAGGCCAATAAGACAGTGAAGTTTTTAAAGCAGAAATAGGACCGTGGAGTTTTAAATGATAAGA